GAATGATGATAAGCCTTGAGAATGGTTGACATTACTTGGAGAATGAATGTTTATAAAATAGAATAGAGGATTGAGCCCAAGAATAAGGCAACATGTAAAGGTTAAGAAGTTCAGGAGAAAGGAACAAAGCAGGCAAAATGCAGGTAATAGTGCTCTAGAAACCAAGAGCAAGTGTTTAAGAAAATGAATTTTTATTGCTAGAAAACATTGAGTCCAGCTGAATTTAGTAATTGTTACTTTAAATAAACATCATGGTTTTATTTCTCTTTGGTTGTATTTGCCATGATAGGTATAGATGCTGTTTCCAGAAAGAAAAACAAGACTTTCGCAAGCAAATACACAAGGGAGAGAGGAGAAAGAGGGAATGTGCATAATGATTGGAAATTACATATTTTATAGATGAAAGAGAGACATAGATTGAGGGAAATAAAATGTCAGAATCTCTGGGTTACTCTTATAAAGAGGAGGGATGTGGTAAGGTGTGGTGGTGGATATCTGTAATTCTAGCACTTTGGGAGACTGAGGTAAGAGGATCACAGATTTGAGCCTAGCCTAGGTAACTTAGCTTCTTTGAGAGACCCTGTCTCAGATAAACAGGCAGACAGGCAGGCAGGCAGGTAGGGCTGGTGGTGTAACTCAGAGCAAAGTCCCTGGGTTCTTTCCCCATTAGAGGGGAAGGAGAAAGGAAAGGAGGGAAGAGAGGGGAGGATTGTTAGGGATGAGTCACTTTATAATGTGAATGAAGTAAAAAGAATAGGAGATAGTAAGGAGTGGGTAGTATAAAGTTGAGAGCTCCCTTTTTGGGGAAATTTATGTTATTTTACATTTTTTCTTTTAAAATAATATTAATAACATCTTTGTATATAGTTTTTTGGCACCTATCAGTATTTCCATAGCCAGCTATAAGAAGTAGAACTATCAGATTGTATTAACATTTTTCAGAATTTTGAGATATACCAAATAAATTTCCTAAACAGTGTTTCCAGGATGTATTCTTTTTAGCAATGAGTTACCATTTCATGCCTACTTCACCAGCATTCATTTTTGCCTTTTTAGTCTCTTTTTTTCTTTTTTAATCTGACAGGCCAAAAAAGTCTATATTTTTGTATGAGTACAAAGTACATATTTTTAGATAGCCATATCTAGTAATTGTTAGTAATTAATAGAAAATGTGAATATGACTAATAATAAATCAGTTAATTATAGATTTTAATTATTAACTTCCTAAATATTCACAATATGCGGCTCAAAATATCTTGGAAAAATAAGGCCCATGTACAATAAAAACAAAAGCATTTCTGGAAATCATCTAAATGAAAAATAGGATGTAAGCTAACAAACACTAAAAGCCTCTTTTCTCTTTCCTCTCCCCTCCTCTTCTCCCCTCCCTCCCTGCCCCTCCCCTCTCCCTTTCCCTCCCTGTCATTCTTTTATCCTTCCTTCCTTCCTGCCTTCCTTCCTTTCTTCCTGTCTCCTTTCCCCCTCCTCCCACTTCTCTCTATCTCACTCTTTCTCTTTCCTGTCTTTCTTCCTCCCCTCCCCTTTGTGTAGGCCTCTCTGTGGCTCTTTCTCCTTCCTTCCTTCCTTCCTTCCTTCCTTCCTTCCTTCCTTCCTTCCTCCCCTCCTCCTCCTCCTCCTCCTCTCTCACTCTTTCTTGGGAGGCTCTTGCACAGCTCTTGCTATTCCCCAGGGAAAGACTCCAGAGGATGAGAAAATAAGGAAAAGACAAAAGCAGAGGTCAGGTGGAGCCCTGTCTTCTGATGGGAGAAAAGGAGCTGCCCTCTCACTGCGGGGGTGTTTATTTGTACTTTTAGTAACTTAATGTCACATGATACCTCAGTTGCCTAGTAATCTGCATGTTTGACAATTTAAGGGTATGACGTTTTGGGGCCTAGAGTCACTTGTTTGGCGGGAGGGAGAAGCCCCAGGTCTTTGTTCTGAGACCTGGCAGGCCACCCACAGATGTCAAATTTCAGCTTCAAAAGCTCCCAGCACTTTCTCCTTTTTCCCTCCCTTCTTTTCCAGTCTGTCTGTCTGTCTATCTCTCTGTTGCTGTTTCCCCTTCCTCCTTTTCTTCCTCCCCTCCCCTTCCCAGTCTTACTATGCAGTTCAGGTTGGACATGAACTCACAGTGTTTCTCCTGCCTCAGCCTCCTGAGAGCTGGGATTACAGGCATGTATCACCATGCCCTGCCTTACACGTAGACACATTAAAATGACACTAAATGATGAATATTGGAAGAGAGAAAATTACTTTGTGTTATACAAAAATATGATTATCACAACAAAATAATGTATTAGCAAGTGCTATTGAATTTAATTCCTTGCAAAATTTCAGAGCAATTTTTTTTTTAAAAAACTGCAAAGGAAAACACGAAAAAACCAGGCAAAAATGTATTACAGTTACACTCATAATGAACTTCAAAAGTATTAGCTGTGTTTATCATTAGTTCAGTGTCTGTGTATGTTAGGTGTTGTATCACATTCAAGTTTTCCAATATTTTTATAGTTTTCTAGATGAGAAAAGAGTTTAAGGCATTGAATGATATGTTCAATTAGAGAATTCATTAGAGAATGAAGATTAAATCTAAATCTGCCTAATTTCAAGTACCTTCTAACTGCTTTAGTACTATATAGTAATAACTCAGGTTTGAGGATGGTAGATAAAACAAGAATGGGGTAAATTACCAGATTTTAAAAAGGATTACAAAGTTTAATTGTTGAATTGTTATGTTAGTGTAAATGAAAAGTCAGTAACTTGTAAAGGTCACCCTACATGGTCTGTATTAGCTGAAGAGGATTTTTTGTGACACAGGGCCTCACTATATGGTACAGTGTAGCCTTAAACTTGGCCAGCAATATAGCTCAGTGGCATAGTGCCTGCCTGGCAAGCACAAGGTCCTGCATTTGATTCCTGGTGTGTGCATGCGTGCGCGTGCCCCCCCCCCCCCCACACACACACAGAGGCCACCAAAGAAAAGCCTCGCTTACATAACTCAGGACCTTGCACTTCCTTCCAGGCAGGTGCTGTGTTGCCGAACTCTTCGGTTAACCTGAAGAGTCTTCTACTAACAGCTCAGCATGAAAGTAGATATAACACAAATGGAGATAAAATGTTTTAAAAGTGGTAGTAAGTACTGTGCAGGAGGTCCAGGTTTTGATTGACACTACAAGACAGCGAGACAGAGAGAGAGAGATTGAGATTAAATAAAAACCTTAAAAAATGGTGCTACAAAGAGATTAAATAAAAATGAACCTTAAGAAAATGGTGCCAGGGGCCAGGGATTTAGCTCAGTTGCCTAAGTGCTTTGCCTGGCAAGCACGAGACCATGAGTTCGATCCCCAGTACCCCCCCCCCCCCCCCCCCCCGGTGTTAAGACATTCACTTTTTGAGGAAAAATGATAGTTTACAGTTTTACTTAGAGTACAATTTATTTTAGAAGATTTAAAGTAGACAGGAGAAGGAAATCTAGGGTATTTTTTTTTTTTTTTAAAACAAGGTCTTGAACTTCAGAATCTCCTGCCTTAGCTTCTCAGGTGCTGGGATTACAAATGTGCACCATCATGCCCAGCTCAGTTGAATGTTTTGAATTCTAAATTTTAGCATTATTTCTCTTGTAAGTAATTTTATTCATTCAGTTGTGTGGTTGGAACTTAATTTCCTAAACCTTTTAGGATAGACGAAATGTTGACTTTGGTTGATAAAATGATTGAGAACATGTTGAGAATCCTATTTTAAGTTTTCTAGATTATACTAGTGTTTAATAATTGAGAGTTTATGTAGATTACTGTGTTATACATGGACAAGCAGCCAAGAGATGGGAAAGAGTTTCTATTTCTTAAGCTGTTATTTTATATTCTGAAGTCACAAAAATGCCCATTCCAAATCGTTTACTACATATAATTTAGTGAATAGAAAAAGAAAATCCAATTTATGAAGTTTTTTTGTAATAACCAAGATTTGTTCTAATTTATAATCTATTTAAGATACTATAATTCATAATTTTACTTCTCTCAACTGAGGTTTTATGTTATATAAACTACAGTTAAGTGTTCAATAGAAAAATAATAGAATTGATGGAAGGATTTCTGAAGAACACATTCATAACAAATTTAGAGGAGATAGGACTGGAAAAAAAAGACTGGATTGAACTCAGAAACAAATTGATATAAAGAGGTAAGAGGGGTTAAAATTTTAGGAATGGCAAAAAAAGAAAAACTGGATTTGAAAATGAAATAATCTATATAGATGATTAATAAATTTTATTAGTAGAAAATGCAGAAAGATGATTGCAACTTGGAGTGGTTTGGACTTGATATTAATTTGACAAGTGTTATGGATTAGGCATTGAATAGTTTGGTAAAGTTTCTTTTTTAAATCTTGTTTTGGGGCTGGGGATTTAGCTCAGCGGCATAAGCGCCTGCCTTGTAAGCAGGCAGTCGTGAGTTCGGTCCCTGGTACTGATAAAAAGGAAAAAGACAAAAAAAAAAAAAAAAAAGTATAAATCTTGTTTTACTTTTGTCACTGAGAAAATGCTGGTAAATGCTAGTAATTTAATTTTCTTGAGTAGAAGACAATTCATGGATTCTTTATATATTTATAGTATGTAAGGAATTTTGCAATGGAGATTGCTGTAGTCTGACAGTCATTTAATTAGATATTTATCCCTTAAACATGCATATCTGAATTTCTTGTTCTACTGATATATGTGTTCTAGGAAGTAAAAAGGAATCTTTTCTATCTAATATGAAAGCATTTATGACAGTATTGTAATATTGAAAAGAAAGGGATTTTCTTCTGTAGTTTTTATTTAAACTTCATTCAGAACTGGAATGAAGAATGTGATTTCTTTTTATGTATTTCTTACTCTGAGCCTATAACGGTTTGACAGATGATAATGTAACCATACCTTAGTCTTTTCTTATTTATAAAAGAAGCCATTTATAGGGCTGCTTTAGGAGTCTTTATTCTTCTTAAGCAAAACTTTTTTTTTTAAACAGAGATTACGCACAGAAAATAGACTTTTAAAACAACGCATTGAAACATTAGAAAAAGTAAGTAAATGATCCCTACAAGTATCTACTCAATGTTTAATATTTTTCCATATATTTTAAGTGTATCCTCAAAAATATCAACATTGTTTCACCATTGTGGTATTGACTGCTAAACTTATCTAGGTTACTATTTTACCAAATAACTATGTATTAATAAATTCATATTAACACATGAAATTTCATGTTAAAGTTTTAACTGAGGTTATTATTAGAGTACATATCAATGTCATTTCTTACAAACCATACAAAGTACATTCTTTTAAAATCTTGCTGGAAATCCATTCTGATATATTTTAAGATGAATTTCAAATATTGTATAGTCTTCCTAGCCATGTGTTGACTATAACAATGATTTCTTTAAGGGCTAGGATTAAATTTTGTCAAAGTAACGGATTCCTTATCTAAAAATTTGATCTGAAAAATGTATAAACTCTGGTTAGAAAAAACTTTGGTATCTCCTTAATTACCTCTTCTGTTTCATATTAAGTTAACTGTCAAAGATGAACATTTTGCATAATTTTTCATACTGTGGTTTTAATGTGATGTCTCTTGTAGTCACGTTTCTGATGCAGTGAGTTGAATAATACAAGCATGGTTAAAAATTTTGCTTTGCTGGGCATGGTGGTGCGGGTCCTGTAATCCTCTCAGCACTCTGAAGACAAGGTTGAGGCAGGAGGATTGCTGTGAGTTCAAGCCTAAACTGAATTATGCTACAAGACCTTGTCTCAAAAAAGAATTATATTTTGTTTTATTTAAAGTAAAATATCTGAATTCATAACTCTTTTGATGCTTTTTTTAAGCTAGAAGTAAGAATAAGTAGTTGAAAGTACGCCTCATGATACTAACAAGTATATTGAAAGTTTTCTTTGAAAATCCATAGATAAGAAATAAAGAACTGGAAATAAGGATAGTTTGCAATTTGCCTTTTTAAAATATTTCTGATTTCACATTTAAATAGCAGTATGCAAAGACTGGATATTTCTTGTCTGTCTTTGTTGTATAGTTGCAAACATTTTGTCTCTAATGATAATTAGAGTTGTTTTAAAGATAGCTTTTTTTGGTGAGTTATCAAAGATGTTGAGGTTAATTGTTTTTAAGTCAGTTATTTATATACTCTTTTCTCACCCCACTTATTACTTAGTTACAGTAATAAGTGGGATGACTTCTTAGGGTTTGTAAAAATTTTTGGACTGAAATGTCTTCACAAAGCATTTGTATTGCATCTTCAGAATGATGCATAAAGATGCTGTAGGAAAGTGTTAAGATTTTACTTCTTTATAATTTCTCCCCCTTGGGTATCAGGGATCAAACTCAGGACAGCATGCTTGCCTAGCAGGTGCTGTACCTCTTTAAAAATTTTAGCCTTTTTTACTGACTTAGATGGCCTATGTATGTAACTTAGTATTTAGAATTCTATAAATTTTTAAATATGAATTGAATTTTGCAACCAAAAAATTTCGTTATTTTTGTTAGGATTTATTAAGTTAAACTCATTACTTTCAATCATTATATATTCCTTGCTTTGATTCTTTGGGTGTTACTGTTGCACAAATTACTGTCACACTTTGTAAATATAATTGTTCACTCAGATTCCTTCTCCTTTTCATAGAAATGGTTTTAGATGCAGTTAAGTCTAAAAATAAAGAGGTATAGCTATGCTTTTAAGAGAAAATACTTGCTGATCCCAAATAATGAAAAACCATTTGAAATTTATAGTTTGGTCTGTTTTAGAAACACCTGGTTTTTTGTTGTTTATTTTTGTTTTGACATGTTTTCCTTAAGACTTAAGAATTTAAAACATGTTCAGTTAAAAATAGTTCTAAAATTTAAATGCCCATTTTAATTAGCAATGAAAAGCAGATGGAATTTGGATATGTTTTCTTCTTATTCCTTATTTTATCACGCTATTTCCTTTCTCATATATTTCTGTCTGAATTTTTCCTTTTGTAGGAAAGTGCTTCCTTGGCAGATAGATTGATACAGGTATAATTTTTAAAGCATTTTCTCTAACCTTGATTGTAAGGAAAATCCTAAACCTAGAAATTCATATTTTAATGCATGCAACTTTACATGCATTTTCTTAGAGATAATGTTTTGGGTGGTACATGGGTTAATTGTTGATTTCTGTATTATCTTGGCATATTCAAATAGATCCCTCTTGCACGTTTTAAAGCTAACTTTATTTTTTCACAGTATATATTCCAAAGTATCAATCAGTGAATTCTGTGATATTAACCACTATCATTGAAAATTTTAGTCTTGCATGTACAACTCAGTAATATTGCATGAATTGAAGTTCTATTGCCTGAAAGAATTGCTGAGATAGATTTTTCATTTAGTTTCTCAAAAATTTGCTGGAGCAATAACAAACTGCTAGCTAATAATTTCCTAGGCTGTTCTATTCTCTGAGGTGATTTTTTTTTTAAAAATGGGTCAAAGTGAATAACTAAGTCTCACAAAGGCAGTCTTTCTTGACTCTATCCTAAGTTGCTTTACACACAAAAAAATTATGTCCTAAGGGACAAGTGACAAGAGCCCAGGAGGCTGAGGAAAACTACCTCATAAAACGGGAATTGGCCACCATCAAACAACAGAGTGATGAGGCCAGTGCTAAGCTGGAGCAAGCTGAAAATACCATCAGGAAGCTCCAGCACCAACAACAATGGGTAAGGAGTCTGGTAGTGCTTTTTTCACCTTTCTCATCCCTTTCCCTTTAAACCAAAAAATAAAAAAAGCACAACTTCAGTGCTCTTATTTTATATAATTTTGTTTTCTACTTTAATTGAACTCTTAAGTTATTATATTTTATGTTCTATAGTACCTAGAGGTCTTAACTGTGACCTAAAAACTCCTGTTCTACCTCCCCCACCACCTACACAATTTTATTATAAGCAGATAGTAATTGTTTTTCCATGCATTATCGTGTATGTAAAATAAGCAATATATATTAGACCTGCTGTTCAGCTCAGAAATCTGTTTCATAACAGGTAACCCTGACTTTAGTCAGTTTTTATTCATTGTGCCGATGAAATACTACTCAACATACAGGAAAAAAAAATATATATATATATAATATATATATATATAAAACCATCTCCTTTAAAACTTTGGTAATGGGGTAGTTTATATCTTATCAAATACTATAGTGTAGATTTCCTATTAAGATGTAGAATTATAGGTTAAGGTGTATGCCTACTTTTTTTTTTTTTAAGATGAGAGAAGTTGGGGCTGGGTATTTAGCTCAGCGGCATAAGCGCCTGCCTTGCAAGCAGGCAGTCGTGAGTTCAATCCCTGGTACCGGTAAAAACAAAAAAGACAAAAAAAAAAAACCCAAACCAAAACAAAAAAAAAATGAAAAAGACCAAAAAAAAAAAAAAAAGATGAGAGAAGTTGTCAAGAGGAAAAAAATTTAATCCTTTAGAAATTATGTAAACTGACCTATGACTCTAAGCAGGTACTGGTTGTGTAGCTAACCTTTGTTATATTTTGCAATTTAGACATAATTTTCCATTATCAAATTCAGCAGGATTATTTTGGGAATATAAAAGCTAAAAAGAAAAGTCCATTATTCCTTACTTCAATTTTTTGTGGGAGTTGGATTAAAATAGGAGCAGGTAGAAAAAATTATTACTAATTCTAGAGATCTAGAGGATCTGAAAGGCAAGTAGAATAACTGTAAAGTTCTCCATTATTTGTTTCTAGTAAAATCAAGAAACAGCGTCATTACGTGGGTACAAAAGTCAGAAAACTAAAAGAAGAAAAAAATTGGTAATTGAAAGAATCGTAAACATGTATTTTTCTATTGTGTTGCTGAAGATGGCTAAGAAAAATGAACGACAGTGATAAAATAGTCTATGGCCATACCACCCTGAACATGCCTGATCTCGTCTGATCTTGGAAGCTAAGCAGGGTTGGGCCTGGTTAGTACTTGGAAAGGAGACAGTGTTAAAATAATACTAGAAAGACTACAGTGCAAGAATTTTGTCCTGGCTTCTTATGAAATAATAATATTGAAACAAAAAGAGAAACAAAAATAGAGTTACTGACTCATTTTCTAAATTAGGCTAAAATGAGTTATAAATTCAGTGTGATTTATTTAGAAAAAAAGACAAGTATTATGCTTATATTTAGGATGAGCTTACAGTCTCAGTATATCAGAATTATAAAGTTTTTTTAATATGTTTTAAGTTAGTGAAGCGTATAGGATCAAAAGGATAGAGTGTTTATAATGAAACTGAGCAAGCCAAAATGATCATAATGTACTGAGGCTTTTGAAACATTTTAGAAAAATGTAAGACATATAAAATAGTGATTTACAGAGTAAATGAAACAACCTTGGTTAAATTTCTGATTTCAAGTTACATATTCTGGATATTAAAAAGACTTGCAGAATAATCATAGAAACATTGATTCTTAGAACATGAGAGGTGGTATAGGTTTTAAGGTGGACAATACATTTCTTTCTTTTTTTTTTTTTAACGATATATTTCTTACAGAAAGTAGTAAATAAAGGTTAGATATTTGAAGAGTATCCAGAGACCTTAATGATGCTTCATCAAAAATGCCTAATGGCTAGCCTAGTAGATATGAGGTAGCATATCACTGTGGTTCAAATCTTCTTTAAATTTGAAAATAACTTTCAGTGCAAAGATCAAGTCTCATGTACATTTAATTTTTTAAAAAAGAATGCATATTAGTAAAATAGAGTAATAATGAGATTCATTTGATATATCTGTATATATATAACATAATTTTATTATGTTCATCTCTGTCCATCCATCCCCCTTTCTTCCTTCTTCCTCATCTCTATAAGTCTACCTTCTAGTTTCCTGTCATCTAGTTATTTTTGACTGAGAATTTTACGTTAGCTCCTTTCTCCTTTTTTCAAGTGTAATTACACGCTAATTAGTCATGAAAAACGTCTGAGTACTGCTTTGTTCAGTAGTTTATTATCAAGATACTCAATTTAGTTTGGGAAATACTTTGTTATGTTGCTTAGTGTCCTATATGATTATGATATGTTTATTTATTTATTTTTGTATTGGGAATATCGATCTCAGGACCTTGCACTTGCCAGGGAGGTGCTGTGCCCCTGAGTTGTATTCCTGGCCCTGATGTGTTCATGTTACAGTGAAAATGAAATAAATGTATTTGTTCATTTGAAAGATAATGGGCAAAATATTAAGTGTGGAGGGTACAACAAACAGTAAGGAAAGAAAGTCTTGCTTTTATAGGAAGTGTTCTGGTTCAGGAGACACATTAAGCAAAAATATAATTTCAGATAAAGGCTGTAAAGAAAATAATGCAGAAGTGAGTTTATAAGTATGAGTGCTATTACAGATAAGGTAGTTGTGGAATACTTCTTTGAGGATGTAACATTTGACCAGAGACTGAATGATACATAGTAAACAATCCTTTGAAGTTAGGGATGTTGCACATAAAAATACACTTAATGTAAAGGTGTTAAGAACTAAATTTTGGGGGCTGGGGATTTAGCTCAGCGGCATAAGCACCTGCCTTGCAAGCAGGCAGTCGTGAGTTTGATCCTCAGTACCGATTAAAAAAAAAAACTAAATTTTTGGTGTTTGAGGAAGAACACAAAATACATATTTGTAAATGCTAATGAAACCAATCTTTAAAAGGAAAGACAAGTAGCTGATAGTAGAGATAAAAGAGTCATTAAATAATGATTTAGACTTGGCATGACGTCTCACACATCTAATCCCAGTGATACAGGAGGATGAAACGCCTGACCTCCTATGTCCGGTATGAGTTCGTGTTCTCTAAAATCAAACTATGAATTTTAGGAACAATGGAGGTGAAGAGTAGAATATATTTATTGAGAGAAAGAAAGCTTTTGTCTAAAGAGAAACAGAAGGGGATCCCGAGTGGGTTGCCCAAGACTCTGTCTTTTCCGGGGACTTTTATAGAGTAAACCATGGGTTCAAGGTGGGGGAAGAGTGGGAACTCACAAAACAGAGGGCATAATGTGAGACATAATAATAGTTAGCCAATAAAATCAATAGTTTAGGTAAAATTGATTACATTGGGGACAAATGGGAAAGCAGGTCACATAGGAAGTGGGCATTCTTCGAGATCAGTGACTCCTCCTATATAGGGGATTGGGATGGTGACTCTTGGCTTCTTAAAATGATCCAGATTTAATCCCAAAGGATTATACTTAAGGGTGTAGTTGCATTTCTTTTGCCTTCTGTCTGGAGATCTGGCCCACAGCAAAAGGTGTGTGTGCCCTCCAAGGTTATCAGATGTCTGGTCCTCTGTGCTGGTGGCTTCCTCGATTGCCTAGTCCTGTCTGACTTCCTGTAATATTTCTTAACTGGCTCAGCTGCCTGTAACACCAGCACAGGGAGGTGAGGTAGGTGTATCTCTGTGAGTTCAAGGCCAGCCTTAGCTACATGGTGAGTTCAAATCCATTTTGAATTACACAGGGAAACCCTGTCTCAACAAATAAACAAAAACAGACATAAAAAAGGAACAAGTAATTAATCAGCAAACTAAGAAAACTGTAAATATATCAGTCATTACATTAAATGTAAGATTGGAATGTAAATATTTAAGTTAGGAGATTCGGTAAAAAACGCAAAAAGGTTTACCTGAAACCAACTTTAAATACAAAGACTGTGGGTAGGAGATATCATAATGAATAATTAGCAAAAGAATTGCCCCACCCTCCATCCCAACCTAGTTTGAATCCAGGACTTGCCCAGATCTTTTTTTTTTTAAATTTTGAGACAAGATCTCCCTGAATCACTGAGTTGTCCTGGCTGAGCTCAAGTTTGCAGGCCTCCTAGATTTCTGGGGTTATAGGTGGTGAGTGCCACCATGCCCAATTAACAAGAAAAAAAATTTTTTTTTAAATTTTATTTTGAAAGTATACAACAGAACAAGACAGAATAAAGCCAACTAAGATCGTACAGTGAAATTTGTACAGAACTTCACAGCAGGTTATCGGGATAACAGTAATACGTATCACAGTATATTTTGTTATCTTTATAATAGTTGTTCTTTCAATCACGTATATCAAAATGAGATGGAATATAGAACACTATAGAACTTATTAAAACAGAATATTGAATAGAGCAGTACCATTAATCAGAAAAGAGCAAAACAGTAATAAAAATATTTGCCTTCAAAGAGACGGTAAGAAGGAAGTCCCCCTTATTTGCTATGATCAACCTCCCAGGAGACACTCAGATTTCTGGTTCCCATTTGCTATTGTAGGGTGGCGGGGGGGTGGGGAGGATTTTTTAAAAACTATTTAAGTAGCATATAATAAATAAAATACATAGGAATGAATATAGCCAAAAAGGTAATCTTATACCTTGAAAAATGAAATATTGTTTATCTACTGTTGAAAGCAATTAAAGATGACATAAATAAATGAAAATATATCCTGTTGGATTGTATTGGAAAACTTAATATTGTGGAGATGTCAGTATTAACCACACGAGTCTCTAAATTCACCCCTATCTACCTGTTAAAGTTTGTGCCTAGATGTAGTTTTAGATGGGGTTTTTCTGGAGGTGGCTGAATCTAGAGTTTGTGACTGATTCATGGTTCAGTACTAGGATTAAGAGTGCTGAGATTAAGGGTGGGTGATTGCTGGATCAGCCACTGATTGGACTGACTCTGCCCTAATCCTGGT